TTTTTATTCTCTAGCTGAAAAGTTTAGTTTTCATCTCAAATGTTCGTGAAAATACATTTAAGTTTATCAATAGTTCGTAATTCTATAGGTAAAGTGAAAAAAATTTATTTTCTAGCTCAAAGGTTTGTTTTTTTTTTATCGCGAACGATCGTGAAAACTTATTAAGACGACTCTATAGTTCATGTACTTTTTTTTTACTCATATGTAGTGGTTAAATTTTAATTTTTAATATTTCTAGAAGGATTTTCTAACAAGTATATCAAATAAGAAAGTTTAGTAAATCTTTAACTTCACTAAATGAAACATTAATATTACATTATATTAGCTTTTTAATAATTCTATATTGTGATCATCGTAGTTTATCTGAACTGTAATTCATATAACTTACCAATTTCAATTAATAAATGGTTAGTTGAATATATATCACAATTTTATTTTATATTTTCCATAAAATTATTCAATGGAGGCATATTTTAATAGTTGATATTGATATGAGTAGTTATGTTAGTGAAAGAAAATAGAAACGCGCCTTTTATCAGATTTATTGATTATTGATAATTAGAAGAAAATAAAACATTAAGAAATTTGACTTTCTTTAATTTTTGCCGAAAAATGATTCAATATATATTAACAACTCATTCCAATATTATGAATATTGTACAATAAAGCTTAGAGATAAAGTGCATCACTAAAGACGATTCATGTTTTTAGAGAGAATAGAGATCGATCACAGGCGACGTATATTCTTCAGTGTTTTTTTCATAATACGATAATATGTTATTGGTTGAACGAAAGGAACGAATGATTATTAATTTTGTTTTAATTGAATAAACAAAAATGTCACAATATCAAAAACAAAATAGATTTTTTTAATGCTTTCTAAGACAAAAGTTTTCTTTTTCAATCATTCTATTCGATTTATTATATTTCAGGTCATTCGAGTGCTTAATAAATAGAGAAATTCTTTTTACGATCATTTCATCATATTCCTAATTTGCAATTCTAAAGAGTGCTCAGAAAATAAGATATGTTTTTTATTAAATTTAATATCTTATCTTTATTCTTTCGTTCTTAGACAACTTTTTTTTATAAATTAAAATGAACCATGAAACAATTGAAGAATTCACGTCAGAATGACGAAATTGAAATGAAGATTCATAAGATAAGAAAAGAGTATAAAATAAATCAACCATAGCAATTATTCGATATTTCCTCAATAAAATCTTTTTAAAATCAAAATTGATGAATAATGTGTACCATAATATTTAAAAAAAAATGAAAAGAATAAGTCGAATCAATTAATAAGTAGCAAGATAAGTAAGACATATAAATATATCTTATTCTTTCGAACGTAATTGATGGTAGAAGAAGCGTATCGTTAATTATACTTTTTTTGTTATTTATTTATTAAATTTAGGTTTTATAAATGATAATTTTAGTTAGAAGTTTTTTTGTCATATATATTAATCAATATATTGTTCAATTGATTATTTCATTCTCCTATTAATCTGTAAAAATAAGCATATAAATCAATGCGTAAATTTTCGAAACTTTTTTTAATAATAATATTCTGATAATCATGTGATGAAGAGGGAGAACAGTTTGTGAATATTGACACTTATGTATCATATTGGATTAAACATTTTATAATATGTAAGAAAAAAACTAATTGAATAGTAGGTGAATAGTCGGTAAAAAAAATTACTAAACAAAGTAGAGAAGACAAACGAAGAGAGAAACAAGTATGTGAGATAAATGTGCTTTCTTCTATGATTAGGCACTGTAAAAATAGACATATAAATTTAGTATTTATTAGTGAATAAAAATTTTGTATATTAATTAATGAAGCGTTTGTGAATAAAATAAATAAAATCAATTAATTTTTTTCCACGATAAGATAGCATTATTACATTCAATATCTTTACAACGAATACAGTATGTATAGTTTTTAGTATTTATCATGATAGCTACAGTATTACGTCGATGATGACCTTTTTTTTTTGGACAATATCTGTAGTTACCTGCTATATTAAAAAATAATAAATTTTTATTCAAAGTACCACGAACACATGAATTTACATAACCTCGATGAGATGGTTCAGATGTAATTATGTTTTCTACAAAATTAAGAAATATTTCTATATCTGTGGCAGATAAATTTAGCTTATTAATTGCATTAACATCCATTGAATTTGCCGAATTTCGATCTGTATTAATGATTGTGGATGGATTACAAAAAGACGAAGGATCTATATGTTGATTAATTAAGTTAATATTTATAAAATTACATGATAATGTAGTTATTGGATTAGAAACAGAAGATAAATCAATCACAAATTTCTTATTCTTAAAATAAATTTTTGATATTTGATCGTATTCCATGAATGTGATTAAAGACTTTTTAAGAAGATCAGAGGATGAGTATTGTGATTGACAATGAAAAGGAAATATACTTGATGGAACAAGAGGATTATTTTTTCCGTATTTTACACTATTGAACAAACGAAACTGTTGGTTTTTTGAATAAACATTTGTATCGATCGCTAAGGTCCATTCATTTGTTTTATTTCGTACGAGCAAATATGCAATATCAGCGATTGAAACATACGGAATTGATAACTTACATCTAGTACAATTTTTTCGTAATGTATTTAGAGATGGTGCTAAATGATGCATCAAGTTTGACGTACTACTGCATTCCTCTTTTGATAAATTGATATTAAACATTGAACATTTATGTTGAGTAATTGATAATAGTAAAAAATGAACAATAGCCTTGATAAAAATCCCGAGAATTGATGTATTTTCAAATAAAACTGATGGCTTTGCATGTATAAAATGATATGATATTTTTTCATCTGTTGAACTGAAGAAAACCCATTCAAAAAAAAATTGATTAAACAAGATAAATATAATAGATATGCATATATACTTTTATCAACACAACTCAATTTTAAAAGAGAAAATTATCAAAGGATTCTATGTTAGTTTTAAAAAAATCCTTATTACTTACGCTTCTAAAACAAGAAATTGCTTTAAAATGTTTTCAGTATAAGTTTCAACTGAAGTAATAGTATCATCTGGACCATTTAAAAAGTAATAGAGAATTTTAAGACAAGATATAGGAGCAATGTAATGATTTTGTATATCAAGATTTTTATCGACCAAGTATTCGAAATCAACATATGCTTTGACCGTCTTATTTGGAGAAATAGATTCATATAAAGTTCGATGTATTACAGGACAATATTCAAATAATGTTATTAATTCTTCAATGGTAAGACAACAAAATTGTCGAGATTTATTTTCTTTTTCAATACTTAAATGAATATCGTTTTTTTCACCGTTTTGCTCCAATAATTGATTATTTAAGTCAGACATACGATGGGTTATAATTTTATGTGGAAAAAGATGTTTGATTAAATTTTTAACAAAGGTCATAATTTATTTGTTATTAATATATAGTTGGCTAGTTATTAAATATTAATTTTAGATAAAAATATTTTTGGGCGCCTACAAATTTTTTTCTTATATAGAGATGTTCTGTTTGAAAGCAATTTTTTTAAAGAATATTCTATTTAATGAGAAGAAATTCAGATGGAAAAACAATAGAATGACAAGAAAAGTATTAATCTTAACAAAAATATATGTGCATTATTATTTTTATTTTGACCTAAAATAAAATATCAAGTAATGCATTATCCAGATGATGTAAAATGAATCTCATATGAAACAATTGATTCGATACAAGTTAAAACTCATAATGATTGCATAAAATGCAAGATTTTGATATTTTTCTTTTATTTTAATTAGTTTTCAGAAAATCATGTTTTTGAAACTATGTTCAGGATTATTGTTATTAATAATATTTAAATATAATTGGTGAAATTAATTTAAATAGTTTGAAAGAAAAAAAAAACAGGACGCATTTTCTTTCGATTAAAATAATGTTTAAAACAAATCAATTGAAAGTTATTGACAAATATTCAAATGTTTTTTTTTTCTCTACTGTAGACTAGAATTATTGAACATTGATAAATTTTAGCCAGTAAAATCATTCAAATAATGGATAAACGGGTGTTTCCCATACTAACAAGTGTACGTGATCCTAAACATTCAGAAAACTTCAGCTATAATTAAAAAGATGATTTGAATTCGATTTACCATTAAACCAATCAACTTTAATATTTTTTATTTTTAACCATTTGCAGATGACAGATGTTGGAATTATTTTAGCCTAATAGAGAAAAAGGGAAATGAATAATTATACATATAATAAAACCTGTTCATTCCATAATATTAATCTGATATGAACACCATCTTGAGCAACATGAAGTTCTCGTCGAGTCCATGAATTGCCATTTGTATTTCCTGCTGTAATCCCATAATCTCTTAAGACTTGTACTTGAACATCTATACAACATAATTGGGGATATAAATTAATCATAGTTTTAAATTAGTTTTAATCTAAAATTACTAACCAATGATTGAATTTAACGGTAGTGTTTCGATTTCTTTCAAACTGGTAATATTGTATGTCAACTGATAATTAAATGACATAATAATTTCTTGCACTTTAGTTGTCTTATTTACAATTAGTTGATATGCATGAGGTAATTTTTTGTACATATTATCAACAGTTCAAATTGATAAACCATCGAACTCATATGACTATAAATATAGAATGAAAGAATATTTTACTTAGACATTCTATTACTTGTCCTTCAATTAGTTTATTCGACATTATATATGAATCTAAATTGAATGCAACAAGATTGATAGCACCGGTATCATCAACCAAATCCCATGTTGATATTTCACCTTCACCATTTGAATTAATATACTTTCGTTTTGGATGTTTACAACTAATCATTGCCCGTAGTTTCCATCTATATCATATGTAGAAAAGAATATAAAAGACACATTAAATATCATCTACCATAACAATTATAGAATAACATATGTAAATCAAATTTCAATGAAATGCAAATTGTTTGATATGTTTTAATTAAAAAAAGCAAGTGAACCATAAATTATATTAGATTCATAACAAGAATGTCAAAAATATTGTGCATAAAATATAGTTAATTCGAAAGTCAACAACTTACGGAAAATCAATATCAATATTAATCTGATTAATTTTTATTACATTTGATTCATTACCTACAATGAATATTGAATTCAGACTCTTATCCTATAAATGGAAAATTAACAAACGTTAAATTTTTGAAAAATCGATAAATCTGAAATATATTTTTATATTTAATTTTATAAGCGATCACAACAAATTTAATAATTTAAATATTATTAAGTTGTCATACTATATTTAGATAAAAGATTGATTCAAAACGTTGAATAAAATTAGATCAATTACAATCTTATTATTTTTTTTCTAGGATATATGCTCAGTCTTACGACTTTTTTAATTTATTTATTTATTTTTATGTACTACATACTTGTTGGTATATCCACAATTTCTAAAATATCCTCTGTTACTTCACCATGTTCATTATATTCATGATTTACGTTATTCCCATTACTATCATTGTTTTGATTAGTATTAGTATTTTCATTGACACCACTATTACGATTATTATCTTCTTCATATTCGGCATCTTCTACAGGATCATTTAAATCTTGTTCGAGTGATACTATTGGTGACATTTTGATATTACTAGAAAAGAAATATATATGTATATATGTATATGAGATAAGTCGAAGATCATACCTTTCATTCGAAGTATTATTTATTAATTCTTCGTACATTTGTATTACTGATTGATGAATATCCATTCAAATCTAAAATAAAAAAAAAAAGTTATGACTTGTTTCAAGCATTTAATCTCAGATGAAACATTTGCTATTAAAAATAATAAAACTAAAAATAAAAAAGAAAGAGAAATTGTAATATTTATGACGAGTTCAATTAGCAGATCGGTTTGTTAATGAAGGTTCATTTGTTTCTTGATAATTTACTAATGAAATTTCATTTGTTTGTTGTTGATTTGTTGTTGAAGCTATATTTGGTTGTTGTTCAATTTTTTTCTTTTTTATAAACACAATTGCTTTCGGACCTGTTGTATTGTTTGTTTCTTCAATTTTACCTTTGCCTTCTTCTTCCATTTGTCGAAGTATATTTAAATATTGATCTTTACTTATTTTTCTTTTCAAATTAGCTGGAAGTGATGATAGAAGAAGACGATCAGATGGATGATTTTCAATGTATTTTTTTATATGTTTTACTTCACTTTCAGGTACATCCATAGTATCTATAATATCAAATTATAGATATAATGTATTGTTAAATAAATAGTTTCTTTTTATTATCAAAATATTTGTTTTTTTGGTATTTTACTATCTATGAGGCAAATCTATATTCATATTACTATAAATTGTAAACTAATTCTTTTATTTTTATCTTTTGAGTTTTGTATAAAATTAATGAAAATATTCATCATAGACCGATACAAAAGGTAGTAAAGTATATTATCTTACATTTTTTATTTATTAAAATATGATCTGTGAATGGATCATAACCGGCAAGTATTTTGGTTTGATTAAGATAAAATTTGGTTAATAGAGAAGCACGAAAGCACGTGTCATAATCAATTACATGATCACCTTCATTTAATTCTTGTTCTGTACATATTGTTTTAAATTGATCATTGAGAACACCAAATGATTCAACATGTTCCACCATATTAAATAAACGACGAGAACATATTTTAAAAATATGCAGAGCAAGTGATAAACGTTCAACTCGCTCCATTGATTTTTGATAACAACTATAATAGATAAGTTTAATAGATTGAATTAATAAAAAAAACTAAATAAATAAAACAATTACCTTGCTAGAAAATCATCTTCATTGGATTTATCCGATGAAAACATATCATAATTATAAATTACGTCTTTTATAAACTTTTTTGCTAAACAATATAAGAGAATAGTTTTGTTTTTATTGTAATAGTAAAGTTACCTTCATCGTCATAAATATATTCTTCTGTATTACGATGAAGTTTTTTAGTTAAATAAAATAAATGAGCAAGCTTTGGTATCTTATTATTTGGTTCAATTGTTTCACGATTAGGACGATGCTTATATGCAACAGCAATTATAAATCGATTAAATAAACCATCTTCATTTTGATCTTTTTGGTCTTGACATTTCAAACCAACACCTAATAGGTTGAAATATTAAAAAAAAATATCAGTAAGTTGAAGAAAAAAAATGCTAAAAGTACGTATATTATTATATGAAAATTGAAACAAATAACACAATATAATATATTGCTTTTGCATTTTACCTGATAAACATTCAATTGTTCGTTTTGGATGACCAGCAGCTACGATGTTTAAACGTGGTTTAATCATAACATTTTGTCTACTAACTAACTGTCGACGTACTATACCAGTTGGACTATATAATTCACACATCAGACCACGATCATATGCAGCTCGATCAATACGTGTACTTCCAAAAATACCAAGAAACACCGCAAGCTCATCCCACAACTATAAGAACTTCATTTGTCATATTAAATAATAGAAATGATAACTTACTTGTAATAAATTCGGTTGTTGCTCTAATTCACAACATAACGATTCCATATTGACTGATGCATTAATTGATGAATATTTTACAGGAATACCATCTAGTGCTTCTACAGCTTCACAAGCTTCTTTTACTATTCTTATAGGTGCACTTTTTTTTGATCCTTAAGAAAAAAAACAACATAAATCATCATAACTGTCGAAGATATTTTATTCGATTTCTTTCTTTAAATGAAAAAATATATGTAATTATTTCCATACATGAAAAGTAACTTTAAAATTTTCTTCACTTTACTCTTAAATCATAAGTCAAAAATATGAAATAATTTAATGAAATTTTTTTTCTGAAATATTATATTAAATTTTACATTTTAACTACTTTCAAAGATTATAAACATACCGCTTCCTCCACATAAAATGCCAAAAAGAATCAATGGTGTATTATACGCTTGAGCACCTTTTAATGAAGCTCCCATTGTCCAATGACAAATGGCAACAATCGTTGTCAAAAATATATAATCTATTGAAACATTAGTTGTTTGTGCAATGTCATTTATTATTAGAAATGAATATTCATCCAAAATGAGTCGTAGATCTAATCTTTCAGCAACACACTGTTTCATTCTACGGATTCGTTCACATTTTTCCATGTTTCTCTATAATCAAAAGCATATAATAAACATAATTATAAAATTAAAAATTAAGTCTTACCCAAATCAAATAACGAACGAGGAAATTCAATAGATCAAAAAAGACTACAAAAGAAACAAGATTGATCAAAGAAGGCACAACGTTTTTATTTAATTAACATTGATTAATCTATGAAACAGGAGCGAAAGTCAATGAATTATACAACAATTTGTGAGATCTAAAGAAAAGCAAATATTTAAATAGATACGATACTTTCTTTCTGTTTTACATGCATAATCATAGCATTAAAATATGTCATTTCATTTATTTAATAATACAGTACATGAAAGAAAGAACAAAATACAAATTTTATTTATAGAACGAAAAATTTATCGTATAAACGAAATAACTCAATAAAATGTCTAAAGAGTTTAATATTCTTTTTTTCTTTTCATCACACTATTAGAATTTAATTTTATCTGATTATATCATTGGAAAGATAAAAACAAGAATTTAAAAGAAAATTTATACTCAAAAGCGCCATTGATTAATTGCTTTTGTACAAGACGATGAATATGTTCTTTAGGAGTGTTTGTGTCGTGTTTTTTAAATCTTATAAGCTATTCAATTTATACAATTCTATCAGATAATGCAAAGTCATTATTATTTATATAATTTTTCATGTTTTAGGAAAAAAAAAATTTGTTGATTTCGGCAACACAAATTTCATGAACTAGAATTTATTCATCCATTACCAATATAAAAACAAAGTAAAAATATATATCTACTTTAAACACAAAGACTTGATTCATTTTTCAGAAAACTAATACAATATGTCTTCTGTAAATATAAATCAATCAGGCAAGATTTTTTTTTAATTTTATCAATAATAAGACACTCTTTGTATACCATTCTTTTTTTAATATACCGGGTGGGTCATGAGTAAAAATACGGAAAAAAATTGAATATCTCTATTACAGGTCGATGAAACGGGCTCTTTTTTATACTAAAACTAGAAGCTTGTTCACATTCTAAATCGATACAGACCAGGTTAGTGTGAACTTTTGTAAAGTATATTTTTTTCTTCTATAATTTGTGAAAAAGTAAAGGTTTATTGTTGAGGTTAATAGTGATACTTACCAAAGGTTCTCATTAACCTTATACGTATAGATTTGGACTGTGAACAGAACTCTAGCCTTGATATAAAAATCAGTCTGTTTAGTCGAGCCGTAATACAAATATTGAAGTTTTTTTCCACTTCTTTATTTATGGGTTAAGTAATATTTTTCGACATAAAGTATTTTTATGTCATATTACCACTATTCTCATTATCTACTCATTATGTCCTATTTTAAAAAATGTTTGAAAATATTTTGCTTTCAACTTTTTTAGTAAGATTCTGTATATGTTCGTTTTATTATTTAATAATAGAATTAGTTGACGAAAATATATCATACATTAATTCTACTCATGGTAAACGGCAATTAATCTTTCATGGAGCAAGATTTTGTGTAAAACAAAAAAATTTAAGTTCAGTTTTATGGAGATGTATCAAATCCAATTGTTCTGCAAGTATTTCTATTTCAAACAATAATACTATATTACGAATAAATGAAAATCATAATCATCTTATTGATCCAAATGACATTAAAATCTTGGAACTTCGACACAAATTAAAGCATGAGGCACAAAGCACTTCAGCAACAATTGATACAATAGTTGAAGTTGGTTATTCGAATATGATAACTAAAGAGAAAATGACTGATTCAATTGTAAAATTTCCTACAATAAAAACATTAAAAAATACTGTTGGTAAACAACGTCGACTAATTAGACCACCATTACCAAAATCTATCAAAGATTTACCCTCTCAAATACCAATACTATATACACTCACTAAAAATAATGCAAATTTCCTTTTATTTGATGGGTGTTTAGGTGGAAAAAGAGGTTTGATATTCGCATCTGAAGATGATATTAAATATTTGGCATATCAAAAATTTTGGTATGCTGATGGAACGTTTTACACATCCCCCTCAATCTTTTATCAGATCTATAGTATACACGCCTTCGATGAAGGATTATCAACTCCATGTGTGTATGCACTTCTTAGTGATAAATCAGAAGCAACATACTATGATTTATTTTCAACATTGATGAAGAAAATAATCGAAATATCAAATATGATTCGACTTGAATCTATTACCATTGATTTTGAACTTGCCGTAAAAAATACATTTTGTAAACATTTTCCACATGTTACAGTAAGAAAATATTTTTTTAAAATCTAGTTGTTTTGAATCTTGCTGTATAAAACATTCACTTCCGGTAATTTCATCCCTTGAAATGCTTCAATACCAAAATTACATAGGATGTTAAAAAGATTCTGAGAATTATTAATATTTCGTCAATAAGAAGTACATTGTCTTTACTTATCTATACCAAGCTTTATAATACGTTATAGTAAAGTTCAATGGCAAGCTAAATTATCTTTTGAAGAATGTTTTTATATTCATCGATATATATCAAACAGATTCGTCTTCTATTATTAGATTAAATTTGTTGCATACAAATAGATTACGAATCTAGTAGAATAAGCGATCTTCTCAGTATTTTATCTCTAACGTTTTTGTTTCATCGAAAAGAGATAAATTTATCATAGTCAGATGGACTGCATAATTCACCACAATGTGACTTATTTTATCTTGGCTAAATACCGTTTACCATACTTTAGATCGAAACGGTTTCAGTTACACAAATTAAGAGCACTTTCCACAAATAGTTATTGTATAGTTTTTCCTAATATCGCATTATTTGCCATTTCTTACTAGCTTTTATTGATAGTTTGTTTTAGGCTAGAAGTAACCTGAGTTTACACTTTTTCCAAAGATGTCTAGCGTTTCCTATTTGAGTTGAATTAGTTATTGTCGA